GCAATTCGTGTAGATTAGTTAAAAATAGAGTTTTATTATATTGTATGTATGTTATTCCTTAAGGTATATATTATAAGAGCGTTTTGTTGTATTATTACGTATGTTAGTCTATAAGCTATGTATTTATGGTCTTTGTAACCTGAACACAAATAAATTATCGCCCTGTATACTATGGTATGATAATCGCGATACGAGACAGTGTAGTCGATAGTAGTGTTTAGTACCTTTTGGTACACCAGATGTCGCGACAAGTACGAAATAGCTATGTATTTGTGACCAATTTGCTCTATGACAAGCTGCAATTTATCAGTAAAAGTTACTCTAACTTCTAGTGACAACAAACAAATCAACTAGATGGCGCTTATTTCACTGATTTTTATGAACAGTGCCGGCTATTCGTTTATTTTGTTTAGGATTAGCGCCATCTGCCCACATTACGAAGCGTTAATTTATAAATTAGTTTGTTTGCACAAAATGCCATCTATTGACAGGCATATTTATCAAAGTTCAGAAAATAATTTTAGCTCATGAACAATATTTGAATAGGTAATATTTTACACAAAAAAACTGGCTTCTTATCCATTTACATAATATAAACTACTTCCAGGTTATCGATCAGCACCCTCTATATGTAAGACGGAATTTTTATCTTTTTCAGAGCTATGATCTCTAGTATGGAGAATGGGATTAGCATTTTTCTTGAGTAATTGGTCCATGGTTTAACATATTGTAATCAGTAAGTACGCTATAAATCAGAAGAGAGACAACGTATACACGTTTTTTTTAAAGATTTTATTTGTCTTTGGATACATAAACGCTCTGTTGTCTCCATATTGACATAACGATAATATAGTAAATAAGATAATTATAGTAAATAAGATAAAATAAAAGTGTATGTTGTATTTACAAAACAAATAGGTTGATAAAATTTATTAAAACATCGTGACAAAAACAAGCTAGTCAACAACACCCCAAATTCTTTACAAACCTGTGTAGAAGCAGCCTAATTAGTGGAGAGTTGGAGACACGTGACCAGTAACGTCACGTTTATGGACTCAACAACACAATACAGCCTGCAAGAAGAAAAATATACAAATACCGAACGCTTTTTATGATAATTATTATTTATGGTGAAGACTCAAAGTAGATGCTTTGACGTATTTCGGAAATCTGCTTTTCTAATTGGTTTATCCCCATTTCAAAAGATACGAATTGGTTTATCCCCGCCCACACCCTTAAGAAAATCGAAGTTATATTTTTATTATACTCCATACCTATTGACGAAACCCAGTGCCGATCTTTAATTAGAAATATTATTAATATGATTAAAGTTGTAAAAAAGTTATTATTATAATATATTTTATGAATTGTTTAAATCGGGTGTCAACTGATTATTTTCTGTAGTTAATTCTTATAACTATCGATGTCAGTTTGCATAGCTTGACACCGCGCTGTTTGGCTTTACATCTACAATAATAAGACACCAAAAACGTAAGGGAACGCTTCCGCGGCCGCCTCTGTGTAGCCAGAGCATAAAAGTATTTTCATTGAAAAGTCATTATTACAAAATGTAAGAGTACGTGTTAGATAACGATGTATGGAAAAACAACATGAGTCTAGATTCCACACAATTATGATAATACAAAGTGTATTCCATGGCATTTAAGTTTATTTGAAAAGAGCAATCCCTAGTGTTTCTTGCTCGTTCTTCTCAGTGAGATCAGCAATGAACGAGCTGTAGCTTAAAAAATGACGTTTTCAAGCGTAAACATTTTACCTATGGATTAAATCATTGACTTACAATTATATGGACGTCGGGTCCGCGCTAAAAAGTGTCCGAACTTATAAGGCGTTAAAATCGTATACAGAGCGTCATTCACGCTTTAGTCTTCGTTTGTTCGACTGACAGCGAAGCAAGCAAAATTAGACAGTACTGCGATGACATTACAATTTAAATTCAACATTTTAGCTTTTTCATATTCCTTTACATGTCACTACGTTTAAATAGGTTGACTTGGGACATTTTTTTCGTGGTTTGTGTATTAGACCCGTCGTCCATTTATTTGTAAGTGAATGGAATAAATTAAATTGATTTGACGATTGTAATATTTGACTTTGACATAAATATAGAGTTCCCAAGACCACAACAATAGAATGCCATAAACAAAGATTAATGAACCGCGTTGGTGACAATTTCTATATGCAACGGTACTCTGTGATTAGCTTTAAAGGACGTATTTGTTAGTTACTGCCGAAACAGATCAAAGTTAATTCCTTAACGATAAGTATTTCCGCTCGGCGTTCTATATTTATATTGTGCGTCCTTTGAAGGAAAATGAAGACATACACAGGCAGATGATGGCGTTAAAGAGAGCCACTACACTTATCGTAAGGAATCCATTAAACTGATTAGATAAAGCTTCACATCCATGTAAGGAGAACGAAAAAGATGGGGTTTTGGCGTCGGCGTGATGGTAGATTATGTCATAGACAAAGCTTTTTATGACCGGATCAAAACGAATAAGTGTGGCAACTTTCTAATTATAAATAGTTAATGTTTCAATGCGAACCTAGATTTTAAGACTTGAGGTGGGGGTTCGCACCTCGCGTCTTGCAATCCGCGCGCTGTAAACTAATGTGCATAAAATAAGAACAGGCGGAGAAAATTTTATACAGATCCGACGTCGACAAGCGCCTGATGGCGACTGACGGGGCAGCGGGCGCGGCGTGTTCTTCAACCGCTAGGCAATTTGCAAATTTTGGGATAAATGTGAATTTAATAAATAATAAGCTTCAGTTGAAAACCAAAAAATAGCAGATTCTCTGTAGCGCTTAAAGCTTATCTCCATATAAAAATTATGTACAAAGTTAGATATTGTATTCTTAAATAATTCGTTTTAGATTTTATTATAGCCTGTTTTCAGCATTTTATATGATCGGGCGAAGTATCCTATCATGTAACAAATTAGCACATTCTTTAGACTATATCCTTAGTTGTATCATATATGTTTTGTAAGGCCGTCCTTTAATATTAAATACCTATACTATTTGATAAACAAAACAGTTTTTCCCGCTTCTCCGGTGACTCGATTTAAGTCATACCGAGGGAATATTTTGACAATTCTCAATAAATCGACTGATCCGAAGAACAGAGTCCGATGTGATTATATAGCGAAAAGAGAATAAGACGTTACGAGAATAATTTCGTAATTCAAACTAAGGCCTACGTAAAGGAGTTTTGAGAATTTATACTAAACGATCGATCTGACATTCACAGCGAAGGTGATCGAACGAAAAATGTACTACGTCCTAAGAACAAGTAGTCTTGCACATTCATCTTTGTTCTACGGATGAGTCGCCATATGTAATATGAAAGTTAAAAATGTATTGGTTACACTATGAAAATAGATCGCTTCACGTCATCGCTACAAAGTCGATTCGTAGAATTGATTCATCATAGCAACAGCGACGGAAGCCCGATGATTCATGCGGTCTCGCAATACTTATATCAATAGAGTTGTTGAATGTTTGTCGTTCAAATGTTGCTTCCTTTGTTGCTTATCACGGCTGCTTTTGTTGGAAACATTGTATAATTTGGCGGAAATCTCTGACACATTACCGCCATTCTGGAGTCTAAAAAGACATTGGCCAATTTTAAAAGATTGCATGACAGGAGAAATTCCAGACTAAGTACTGCCTCTGAACCCACCAAGGGCCGGGCCTTGCACACAAAGGCCCAGCCCTTGGTGGAACGGTGTAGCAAAGGAATTTTTGGAGTGGTGGCCTTCCTTACACATTTATCATTACGATTTTTCTGCGTAAATGTACCTGTCAATGAAAATAATTAAATATCCAATATCTTCAACTAAGAAACGACTAATTCTAAAATTTCGCGACTAGAACCGACTAATTCACGACTTCTTCTGGGTGCAATCAGATCTAAACTAGGAGCTGTGGTTGTCGAGATTCAAAACTGGTGCCGCCGGAATAAGCTTATGCGTGGACAGTGAAACACCTTCAAAACTAACTTCAAAAAAAATTACTTCAAAACGGTGTAACGGCTAAATCTAGTTTTTTACGACTAGAAACGATTAAATCACCTCTTTTTTTTTAGTGTAATCAGATCTAAGCGACGTGCTTTGGTTCTCGATATTGAGAAATGGAATAAGTTTATTCCAGGGTCGACAGTAAAACACCCTTATGGCGATAAGTTTTGTTGCGACTAGAACCGGACTAAACAGCTTTTACTTTTACGACTTTTTATCTGGCTAGTCAAATTTCAAACACTCCATGGTCACGCTGGAATAAGGCACGCCGTTAAATCTTTTAGACTGCCGAAGTGTCCGGAAGGTTGAGGAGACGGCTGCCGGTTCGAAATCCCTCGCCAGCCGCAGCTTTGTTTTCATAGCTACGACAATTATCTTTGAAATTTCAATTATAACGTCCTAACATTACAATATATTACTATTCGTCACAAAAAATGCCCCGTGCCTCAGTGGACGCCAGGCCTAACACGCGCTAATTAACATGATAGATAGAATACATAGTGAAGGGTACATTCTAGGACTAATTATAGGTTTATGGCAACAAGAACAGCTGTGGCATTCAGCTAATATCGGTACCATGTCTTCGAAAGCCTTGAACTGTTAAGCCGTTGAAAGAGTGCCAACATTCTGATGTTGTAATAGAAATATGTCTCATCTAAATATATCTAATCTTAAACCTAGTTATTACAGTTCACTATTAAATTTTTATTTGTTTAAACATTAAACAGTATTAAATATTTTAATTTTTTTTTATATTTAAAGAATTGAAAGGAAACCAATAGTTAGCAACATTTTAATATATATTTTTATTCAAATGAATTTAATCATACATTACAGAATACTTGGATTTTTAATGTACGTTTTTTTATTAAAATAATTATAATAATTACAAAATAATCCTTATTGGTATTATAATTATTATTAGATATATTATAAAAAAAATTACGCTTCCATTCGCACTCTCAAAGCCATATAGTATGGACAATAATTTACTAATTTTCGTTTCACTGCATTAGTTACCATACCTTTGAGCAACATCCCACTTTCAAATTAGTTATTTAAATTAAAAATATTGAATTATATTGTGCTCTATGCTCAATAACACTGCATTAAAGCTACGTGGACAATTTTATAAATTAACTACAATTAAATGCACCATTGGAAATCATTCCTTGTCCTTTTTCCTGCTTCAACACACACAACATTGTTGTGTAAGCAATATTTGGCAAATGTGGCCTAATACAAATCAAAAAACTATCTTGCAGAATTTAACATAACTACAAATATACAATAGTTTTTAACACGTAATTGACCCAATTCCAAACAAATACAAAAATGTTATCATATTGCTCACACAACCGACAACCATTCTCATAAGCAAATAAATTATGTAAAAGATGTATATGAAGTAAAATTTTGATGTCTTTCAGTCCCTTATTTCGAGTCTTGTAGACCTACGGAGTTACTCTACCAGAGGCTACTCTAAGGTCTATCCACACCTAAGTACAACGGTATACTGTTTAATCTCAATACTACGAGAAAATGGACACAACTCGTTGAATTACCATCTCTCTGAGGAATGCAAGAACAAACTGTACCAACTGGCCACTTCCACAATGTATAATACAATCAATAATCCTGAGAGTAACAAAATGCAATAAAATTTAACAGTTACGATAGTGGTTTCTCTATATATTCATAGATAAATACGCCCGAGAGGGCAGTGAAACAACCCAGTGCCCTCACGGAGCCCGCAAACATTTGAACAAGATTTACTCTTACGCATATATGTACAGAGGCGTGGAGCGCCCGCTGCGGCTCATAGCGCAGCGGCAAGACATCATTGGCTCTTCAGTTCTTTCCCGATCGAGTACGACACAAGTTTTGTCCAATCGATCTTGCTACGTGTAACAGGCAGCTGTCGCCTTAGTGCTTTGAATGTAGTATCGCTCATGGTCTTATAATTATTAGAAATAGCAGTCTGGTACGCATTCTCAGAGTCACAGACGATCCTAACGAATTCTTTAGCAGTGGCAGCTTCACCTGTGGCCACTAATGGGGATTTCACTTCCTTGGAGCTCACTAACTGCACATTACCGTCTTCATAGTAGTGTACTTGGACGCGCAGCAACCCCCGCAGCTCCGCGGGTCCGGCACCCACTGTCAGCGACCAAACCGACCGCCATCGCCCGTTCCAGTAGTTCTTGGGTTGGAACTGGTGGTCTTCGATACACGCGACGAGCGAAACACCACCATTGTCAAGCGCACGACCGACAACCAAACTCGCACCATGTTTATAGTGCATGGCCACGTACCCTGTTAGCTCCTCGTCGAGCGCAGCCCGCCAGGGTTCCGCCACTTTATCAGGTTCATAAGGCTCATATTCTGAGGCTTCTTTTCGTAAATGGTCATACTTGAACGACCGCTTCGAACGTGGGTCGAAGAACCTGCCGCTGCCCAACTCGTTATGATCGGTGATTAGAGTATGGAGCTCGGAACCTTCAAGGCGCACGGGCGTTAGCTGATCCTTGTTGTACTGTGCAAACGCGCCACTTGCGCCCTCCTTTAACAGGCTGTCGTTATTCAACAACACTCTCACATCGTTAAATACCTCGTTAAACTCGCCTGGTGGTGAATGTAAGATGAAATCCGAAACGATTCTAACTTTTTCTTGATCACTGATCACTTCGTCACCGTCCGCCGCCATTTTTGATACTTTTGACACAATTTGACGGATCGCGAACGTGCAAAAGGTTGTAGTGTACGTCGTACGAGTATTGGTATTGCAAACTGTAAAAAAGAGGTAGTTGCTTACAGAAATATCATGCTCTTTCAATTCGCACGCTGGTTACATTAAAAAAAAATTGATTAATGCATTCAATGTACTGAATTTTTAACCGACTTTAAAAAATGGGAATGTTCTCAATTCGACTGTATTTGTGTGTATTTTTTTAAAGAAAATATTCCACCTGATAAACTAGTGGACGAATCCGATTTCGCGAACTTTCCGATGACCAATAACAATAAAACTTTACAAATAGATGTCATTCCACGAACGTTTAAAATCACTATAAAATATATATATTATGTAAAAAAAATCAATGTTTAATAATAATAAATGAACAATATTGATAAAATCCTGCAACTGAACGCGTCTTTGTCTCATAATAAGAGTATTTATGAAGACCAACATTTTTCTTTTTTTCACTTTTTTTATTATTTTTTTTAAAGAGACTAAAATAATTTTCTTTTCATATCTTTAACTCGAAAATTTATTCTCACAGGTACTGTGCTTGTTTTTCAATCGCACTATTGATTTTAATTCCTCGTAACGCGCTTGCTAAATAGAATTCTATCTGTCAAAACAACCAACATTTGACATTGGGCTTAGTTGTGTAATCCTTACAAAATTCACTTAAAAATCCAAAAGTAAACATTAAACCATGTCGATTCTCAATTACAAATACTACGATACACCCGAGGGGCATGACATTTTCAAGAAAACATTTGTTACTACCAAGTATGCTGCAATATCAGGCCTTGCGTACTCCACTTTTGACGTCCTAATGTTCTCGCATCCCAAAGGATTCGTAAACACCGTAGGTCGAGTTGGATACATAGTTGGGCCACTAGTGGGCATGGCCGCAGCGTTTACGGTAACTGCTAACATGGTGCAGAACTACAGAGGAAAGAATGATAAGTTAAACTACTTTTGGGGTGGTGCTGCGGCAGGCGCAATTTGCGGTGCATGGATGCGCTCTGCTACTATAGGAGTGCCAGCGGCAGTCGTATTTGGCGCTCTTGCCGTAATTAAGAAGACTGGCGTCGACGAAGGTTGGACCTTCATCCCGGACACCACTTTAGCGTCGAAAAGCATTCAATCCGTTAGACACGATTGGACTATGGCCAAAGATATCCCTGAATTGAAGTCATACGTTATAAGTAAGTTTTCAATTCACATTCAATTTGTTTACTATTTCAAACAGTTTGACTTTTGTATGTACATATTTCAAACAGATTGTAGGTTTTTCAGGACTATTACAAGTAGAGGTTCTTGATCTCTACCTACCCTATAGTCCATTTGTTTAGGTACTTAACTAAATGTAAACAATCTTGATACATCTTTTTATTGAAACACATGCTTTACAAATCAATAAATATTTATTTATTTATTTATTATAAAACATCTTGTGGACTTACAGCTAAACCAAAGTGCCCAGCAAGAAAAAACAAAAAAAAAAAACGATACAATACTAATACACTACTAATATTACATATCATATAAGTATTACCTTAAAATTAAATATAAAATAATCATTTATTACAAACTAACTAAAGAAAACAGAAAATCAAAAATAGCTTATATTAGCATAACGAGTAATGGCATCAATGAGTTTCGACATGTTATCGGCAAACACATCAGCATTCCGGTCTAGTGCAAGGAAGTCATTTAAAGAAATTATTGCCCTGTTGGTCGGTGCATTGTATCCCTGTAAAGTGCGCGCTTGAGGAACTGCAAAAAGGTCACGTGCGCGCCGTCCCCTGCGACTCATCGTGCTAACGTAGCGATTCGGCACAAATAGAGCCAACCTTTCAAGAACTTTATCGACTTTGTGGCGTAAAAGCCGGCAGTAGTGCACAAGCAGCCGAACCTTCCGGCTCAGTTTAAGCGAGTCGATCCCTACCATCCCAGACACAAATAGTGAAGGGAAAAGAAAGGGATAATATCCATACAACCTTTTGTAGAGATACCGAGCAAATTTACGCTGCACTTTCTCGATCATTAAGCTGTATAGCTCTTCTTGAGGATCCCACACTATAGCATTATACTCGAGCTTGGAACGAACGTACGCATTATACAGTATCACAGCAACTTTGGGGTCACGGAATTGATATGCCGTCCTAATCACAAAACCTAACATTTTGTTAGCGGATTTAACGATATTAATGATATGATCGTGCATATTCAACCGGGTGTCTATCGTTAGGCCCAGATCTTGTATTGAATTGACACGGACAAGCGGAACACCTGACAGGTGGTAGTCCGCATGTATCGGATTTAAAGACCGAGTAAAAGAAATTGTTTTACATTTAAGTGCATTGAGCGGCAACTTATTAATTGCACTCCACTGAGCTACGGCATCGACCACCCGCTGAAGCGAATTGCAGTCAGCAACATTACTAACTGGATGCATGAGTTTGAGGTCATCCGCAAATAGAAGGAAATATGCTCCAGTAAGGCACTTCCCGAGATCATTAACCATAATTAAAAATTGCGTTGGACCTAAATTACTCCCCTGGCTTACGCCTGAGCGGGTAAAAAACTCATTTGATCTAAAACTAGACACTTGCACATATTGTCTGCGGTCCTTTAGATAGTCGGCGAGAAAAGATAGCAACTTGGGAGTAAAACCTAGGATTGAACATTTACTAAGTAACACGTCATTATCAACGAGGTCAAAAGCTTTCCTGAAATCAAAATATATTGCATCGACTTGTCGGTTTGAATCCATCTGACTTAGCACGTAATCAAAAAAGCAAATGTGGTTAGTAACTGTGGAACGCGCACCACGGAAACCATGTTGCGCTTCATCCAACTGATTACTGATTTGCTTTATAAGGCTACCGTTGATAATACTCTCAAAGAGTTTACCAAAAGCGGACAAAATAGCGATTGGCCTATGAGTTGATATCTCGGTGGATTTTGTTTCCTTTGGTATCGGGATCACTCTCGATACCTTCCACTTAGTTGGATAAATAGCAGATTGAAGAGCTAGGTTAAAAATATGTAAGAGAGGTCGCTCGAGTGCCGATAGGCAGTCCTTAACCATATACGGTGGAATACCATCAGGTCCAGCTGAAGATGAAGACCTGAGTCGCTTAGCAGCCTTACGCAACTCGATGACCCCAATAAGGGTGATACTGACGCTATGTGTCGCCACATGATTATCTGTAAGGCGTGAAGCCTTTTCAGCATCCAGCTCTGGAATTTCGCCATGAAAAACCGAGCTAAAATAATCAGCAAATGTGTCAACTGCATCTTGGTCCACAATGACTTCCCCATTGAGCATATACTCCAGTTGTTGACTTGAATGATGCTTTTTACTTTTTACAAAATCCCAGAATTTACTAGGATCCCGACAAATGTCACGCTCTGCACTTAATAGATAGTTCCTGTAATCCCTGTCGATCAAATCCTTGACGAGAGTCCTGTAATATTTGTATACTTCACGATTATATTCAAGGCCAAGGGATTTGAACTTTTTTAGGTTATAGTATTTTAGTTTTATGTAACGAATTAATTCAGATGTATACCATGATGGATATGAATAACGTGCCACACAGTTACGCTGCTTTTTTAAGGGAACAAAGCGATTCATCGTCTCACTAAGTGCACCATAAAATGTATCAACGGCCAAATTAGTATCAGTTTGCACTAACACATCAGTCCAGTCGATGTCAAATATAGACGCGTAGAGTGCACAAAACTCAGCCTTACGAAAGTTCCAGGAGGGTGGATTAGTTCCTAGTGCAGTGCGTATAAAAGGTATAAAAATAGGCATGCAATTTCATATGAAGCTAAGTATTTGTATTTTGTATTTGAAGGTAAGGGAAAATCATTTTATAAATGTATATTTCATTAAATAGACATCTCAAGATTGTTTACATTTATTTAAGTACCTAAACAGATGGACTATAGTATACATATACAGTAGCTGTACCGCTATCCTTATCATAAAGAACATAATTCAAATTTTTAGAGTAATTGAGGTATTGACATATCAAGGAATTATCTTGTCACAAGCTACTCTTCAAGATATGAAGTGTAAAATTAAAAAAACTAAGCCCTGGAAACATTATCTATAGGCAGTTAGTCAGAAGAGGGGCAAAATATATGGTTTTCTTAACTTACTTAGAAAAAACTACCTTGTGACAAGTGCATGATATGAGGATTTTTAGGACAATATTTATATTTAAGGATTAATGACGTATTTTCTTCTTTCAGAACCCGAGCAGTAGAGTGAAGCGTAAATGTTAATAGTCTGTACAAAAAAATCAGTTTGTAATTTTATTTAAGTGTTATTAAAAATGTATTCTTATGTGTTTTGATATTATTATTATGCTGCCTGCCGATTTCATTTGTGAGCTAGCTTTTGGCTTATGTGACCAATCTTCTGTGTGAAGATTCTCGCGCACTGCAGCCATGGGTAACCACAGTTTATGGGTGGGCTTATCAATCACCAGGATTTAACGTGTTCACTATGAGGATTCACAAAAAGAATTTCACAATTTACTCTGGTTTACTCAGAACTATTTATAGCGAGGAATTTTGCTGGAATGAACGATGAGAGACTATGCATACGCGGAGGACTGAAAATGTTACGTCAGCACATGAGTCCCTACACCACCATTTTCGTAATTGCAACTGATTACAGTTATAATTTGGTTTGTTTGTTAAAAACAAATATACGTGATTTAAATCCAGAAAAATAGTTTCCTATATGTGTAACAATCGCGAAAACTTAAGAACTCGATATATAAATAATTTCATTAAAACTTGATTTTTTCAACCCAAATACTTTGTTTGACTGTAAATTCATTTGGAGGTTTTTATCACAAAAGTCAAAAAAAATAAACAGCTCGTGTGTTAATATCACTTTTATTACTTCTTACAATAACAAAAACAAGCACAACAAAATGCTACATTAAATGTAAATGATTTACTATGTAAACCGATTTTTAAAAACACAAACGAAATAATAAATACCAGCGGCGAAAGATCCATACAACACGTATCCCAACGACTTGCCAAGGCAACTCGTTCTTCCTAATATAAAATGGCAAATGTTTACCTTCCACATCGCTTTACCTCCTCCAAATATCCACAATTCGCCACTATTAAATAACAATTATTTTAAACAATAATTTAAAAAAATATATGAGAAAAGAGTGTATAGCATTTCGAAAACATATTAAAAAATGCTTTAATGTTACCATTTCTCATCAAAAAAATTAACAAAAAATATATATTTGAAATTAACAAAAATATATAAAGCTCTTAATAATAAAGTCGACAAAATAAATATTCCACTTAAATTAAAAACTAAGCTGGTTTTAGACAAAAAAATCACATTTCGTCCATCTCCTATCTAACTGTTGTATCTGGGGGTCTATTCCCGTCTGACATTCGTCCAAAACAATAACTGTGAAATAAGAAATAATCGACTAAATTAAGAGACAATGTTAAGTATGAAGCTTGATTAGCATCATGCGTCTTTTAACTTTGGTCGTGTATTACTTATTTGACAGTAATTGTTTCCGAGTAGTCCCCGACCTTACGATACGACCTTAGGTTCAGTTTACATTGTTTCGGAAAGGAATGGAAGCAAATTTTTGTACATAGCATAATGGACTTTATAACAATTGTGTATAAATTAGAATGCTGCGCAAGAATTTTCCGGAATACTCGCGACCTGATTTTTGGCTCGTATTTTGTATGTCACGTAATTGAATATAGTTCATTATCCTATGGTTACAAAAGTTCACATCCATTCCGGTCTGCAGTAATGTAAATTGAGTCTTAATCAGCTGTCAAAATTTTTATGTATTGATAGGATACTATGATACGAGCTGCAGCACAAGATATGAAGTGCTGATGCTGAAAATTTTACATGTTGCTTGTTACAACAATAAGCCAGAAGAATGACGAATATAACTTATCATAACTTCGATGCCACACAAGAAAATCGAGATTTAAAAATAAACTTTCAAAACCTCTTTTTAAGCATTATTCAATGTCTAAAACCTATGTTCACTTAAATGCATAATTATCTCTACCTCAATCTCACACCGGTGCAAAAGACTAAATTTAACTTAGACTAAATGACACTCAGTAAGATGCCTCCGGTTCGGTACCATGGGACCCGAAACATTGGTTGGAAAATATAGTTTCTTTTCCAAAGTTCAATCACGGAAGCCTGAAAAAATGTATATAAATCGAAGTAAATTCAAACCGGTACTTCCAATGAGTTTACAGTGACACTTGTCGCTAGCGACAGTGTATAATAACACTTGCCAATTGTATACTTGTATGGCCAACCAAGTTACCTCCAAATAAAATTGAAAAAGTACAAGTTTGATTGATGGATGATTTTATGAGGTACAAAGGCTACAGAGTCGAAAATGCGACCAAACCATGAGGCATCTCGTGTAAATTTACGATTAGAGCTACTAGGACACAAGACATAGGAAAACGTCGTTAAAATTTGGCCGCACACACGTTGACCATTAATGTTACGTATATTTTGAACAATGTGCCATTTGAAGGTTCTTTTTTTTGCTGTAAAGTTCATCGTATAATTTTATATTTTGATTTTATGACTTTATCGTATACTTGGTTTATTTAATACCTAATATTAAGCCAATTTATATATGGTAGGTATTCCACATTGCTTTTTTATGATTAATAAATAACATGCAATGTAAAGAATGTCTCAAAAAAATTTCTAAAAAAAGCCTAACTCAAAATTTGGCACAAATCGAAGACGAAATTCACTACAGTTTTTTTTCAACTTTAACGATTTTTTTAAATTCGTAATTTTGTCATTTTAGTCCTAAATATTTCTTAAATTATATTAAATAGTACATTTAATTAATTTGTCAAATAAAATTCACGCATTAGTGCCGAAAGCGCATCAAATCTGTGAATGAAATTTACATCATTTAGTATTAAACGATTAGACTAAAAAAATTATGAAGAAAAATTGACTTTTTTGGTCTTTAAAACCCATTACATAAAAATTTTTGCTTGAATACAATGCAATTATTGAAAATAAACTTCACTTTGAGATAGGAACTTAATGTAGGAAAATCAGAAAGAGCGTAAAGCGGTGATTTAAAAAAATAAATCATAAGTTTAGAAATTATCACACGTTGATAGAGGAATTCAGTGGCTTTACACACAGGGGTGTCCATAAGCAAGTATTTAACAAATCTTAAGTTCATGTAGATACTACCTTCGAATTAAAATTTTTCCCGTACTAATACGGTTCATATCATTTGGGTCGTCCGGCAGGGACACCGGCTTCATGTCAGAATTTATTTTTTGACAAACGAAATTTACAAAAGCCTTGTGAAATATTTACATCGTATAGTATACGTATTCTGTTTAGTTCAGTTGATATAAAAAATATCATTAGTATATGTAAAGTACCTATGGAATTTGTGTTTTTTTTTTTCTATCGCGAAAATTTTTAGGAATAGTGTTTTCACACCGTATAGTAACCAGTGTACATTCTCAATTTTACTATTATTTTTTTCCAAAGCGATAGATTCGTCACTTTCACTGTAATGCGGAATGAACCAAAGCCAGTTGTTGTTGTATAGCCCCTTAAGATCTTACTTTTTTAACCGTTTATGTTAATAAATATCACCTGAGTGTACTGAACCATTAGTCATTGATTACGCAGGATTGTTATTAAGTCACAAAAATTATAGTTTATTATTACAGCTATACCTGCCGTTACTATTCTAATTCTTCCTATCAGAGACACTATTCTGTCACAGAAATCAACTTTACGACAATCTAGCTATCTCTTAAGAAACGTAAGCTAAATAAAAGACAGCGCCGAATACATACATAAAGACGTGAAACAGATTAAAGGTGCTTTTCCACCGGCCATGTGAGACGAGGATTGAAATTTGTATTGCAAAATTTTAATTCTCTTCTAGCGCATCTTCAGTAGAAAATGAAATATTTATTATGTAATATCGCGAGCGCCCGCACGACTTGAGATTTAAAAAAGATTACTTCGACTGATTCTTCTTTCGTTAATATATTTAATAATAATAATGTAATAAAATATGTTACTGAAGCCGCGTGTTTACCGCTAAACGAACTGCACACAACGGCGAGATTTCAAGTCTCGTCTCGTCTCACCGGTGGCAAACCACCTTTAGACTGAGATTTGTTAAACGACTTGGGACTTACATTAAGCAAAAATGGCAAGTAACTTATTCGTATTTACAAAACGAATAATGCTTAGCTCGCTATTTTAGCTTCGCTGTTGTCAAAGTCCGTTTCATAAGTCTCAGTCTAAGAGTTCCTCATAAGACCCTGTTATGATACTGTATACCCTTCGACCGGGAATGCTGCATTGCAGTAGAAACATCATTAACATAAGTTTAAATACCAATATCCATTTCAATATTGGATTAAATCTTAGAAAGCGATGTAAAGCCACTGACCCCCTCTCCCGTCTAAACGCTATCAGTTCACTTCTTCTGCTCCGGTTCTTCTTCTACTTCTTCTTCCTCGACCTCTTCTTCAATTTCTTCAATTTCTTCTATTTCCATCTCTTCTTCTTCCTCTGACAGATCGTCCTCTTTCTGCACAAAATAAACCAACTGTTTGTAAACCAATTTTTTAAATTCATATTTGAGAAGTCACATTGTTCGTCAACCTCGAAGTCCGAAGCTTGCACACCGGTTTTCACGGTCCCGGGTTCGATCCCCGGCCGCGTCAATGCAGAAAACTAACTTTTCTATATTGTTCCGAGTCTAAGTGTTTGTGGTACCGTCGTTGTTTCCGATTACCACAACAAGTGCTTTAGTTACCTAATTTGGGATCAGAGCAACGTATTTTGCAAATAATAATATTATTATTATATTATTAATGTTTTTTGACAAAATGGTTGAATTTAGTGTTGGGTATATTTCCGAAAGATTTCAAATAGTGGAAATTTTTGTGAAAAATTAGTAAATTATAATTCGAAGGCTCACATTATGTTCTACATTTAGTAAGTTTTATTTAGCATAAAAATAAAATTGAATAAAATAAACATTGCTAATAATTTTAAACCCTGCTTGGATAAGCCAAGTTCACATATTCTCTTATTAGAGTTCAGTATCTTCAACTTGTAACAGGTGTCACTGACAAATGTGGAAAATTATTCATAAAAACATTTATTTTTCTGAAAAAAAATTAATGACAATGGAAATTGTTCCATGACTAGTTGTCTATAATATGATATCGATGTCAATTATTTACTCAGTAGATCATCGTCATATTTTTTTCTTTTTTTACACACTCATAGGGACACTAGAGACACTCTGTATCGCGGGTGCCATGGACACACACATAGACAACCACAAATCACACACAAACTCAAGAGAGAAATAAATGTAGGCCTTACAAGTGTGTCGTTCATTGTAAAAGTTAATTGTGTCCTTGTAATTAAATTTTGAAATAATGAGCCTCTGGCAAATTAATATGTAGTGATTTTAGTTCTCTGAGTAAACTAAAAATGCCGCCTAAGGGATGTTGGTGTAATTATTGGAGTTGCTTCAGTTTTATAATGAAAGATATAACTAAATGTGATACTTTGAAGGAAAAAAATATATATGGACTTACATCACTTTTATAATGATCGACATAAATATTTCCCCCGGCTCGGGAATCGAACCCGGGACCTCTGCGTGGCAGTCTAGTATGGTAACCGTTCTGCCACGGAGGTAGTTTATTTATTACACGTATATCTTTTTGATTTTTATTTTAAACTATTCTTATATGTACCCAGATACAATTTGACATAAAACTACTATAACCTACCTCAGCGGGCTGTGTAAATCCACTGGCTGTTGTAAAATCATCCAACGTTGATTCTGGAAATAAATTAAAAATAATACTCTCAGT